AATGGGTCTATGTATTAGCGCCAGCAGCGCCTACCACTCGCCACCGGTAGTCTGCACAAGCCTACATATTTCTGAGCGCGGAAATTCATATAAACATACAAATCGAGAGGCAGTAAAAGTTGATTTTTGGCACAACGGCGAATCGCCTGCTTCAATTCGCTTTTCATTGTCGACAAGTATTTGTAGCAGGTATAAAATTGAGTGCCGGCACCTGTTGCATGTACGACTAGTTACTAGTATGTAAGTATATTGTACATATAGCACATTTGCATATTCATTTTTTACGACGATGTTGCAGTAATTGTTCGCGTTGTCGTTGACAAAACTGGAGCAAAGAAAATTAATTGTTGTCATGTCTATTTTACATAATTCAAATGCTTATCGGGTGGCATAAGCGCTCTAGTATCTGCGTTGCTCTATATACAAACGTACATACTTACATACATAGTACATGCATACATATATATATGTATGTACATAGGTACATAGTCACATTTGTTTAAAGTCGACGTTGCCTCAAATACTACTGCGGCTCGCTGTCTGTTGCTGTTTCTTTGACTGCGTTTGCATTGCTTTGCTTGCTTGAATGCACAGTTGACGCCGCTGATGGAATTGCTGATAACGCTAGGCGCTTGGTGTTAGTTAATGGTCGTCATGGCTGCTTATGTACATACATATGCGCTGCTTTGACTTTTGCTTTGGTGCGAAAACCAGTTTACAACGCTAGTGGGTCTCCGCCAGTGAATGCAAAAATTACTGGCAATTAGTATGAAAGTTTTCAACTATATTTGCTATTAAAATGTTGTAAATTTCCAAAATAAGTTGACTGACTGGCCAACTCAATGGCTGGCTGGCTGGCTGTCTTGCTGGCTCTTGGCCTATCTAACTGTCTAGTTAGTACTTATAGCTACAGCAACAGCAGTGCGGTGCATTAAACTTAAATGTTTACAACATTTTTATTAAAAAACATACATACATACACACATAGTTATATGAGACGTGTTAGCACGTAGATGAAGATAGAGATATGAACTAATAGTATGCGCTTGCATACATATGTAGTTATTAAAAAATGTTTTAAATTACTTTCACGAGTTATTAAAAATTAAATTACTAACACTTGCACAGTAGCACAGGTGCAGCGAAAATTGTTTAATTGGCATGTTGATGTTCATGCGCACAGTTTTACAATTCTCAAACGCATGCGTAAGCAGAAATACTGATTTTCTAATTAATTAGTTTTGCTAAGTCTGTAGTCAATATGGATTTTTTTTCATGTTAACAATTCGCTTCTAAGTATCTTCTTTCTTATACCTATATATAGCATTATTTCCATTTTCAATACAAAATATATTCTTTTGATCAAAAAATTGCCAATAAGTTGGACTCAGAATGAAGACCTAGATAAGCTGCTAATATATTTACCTGAAACTTGATTTCAGAACGTCTAACGAGCTGTATTATTAAGGCAAAACTGAACTCATTGCTTTTACAAGGGATTCGTTTTGAGGGCCGATGCCCTATTATCCAAGCGTTCGTTTCATAAAATTGAGCTGTAATTGAAGTTCCAATATGCATGCCTTCAATTCTTTTTTGTTATGATAATAATCGATTTTGTATGTCTTCATTCTTGGGTAGAAGTAAAATACATTTTAGTGATTTTTATGAGCTTTGATTTACTGACATTGGGGTGGTACGTTAGGGTGGTAGGAAGTGAAATCTGGTGGGTAAGTACTATAACGGGGTATTTGAGATCAAAGAACTTTGGAACAACAAAATTTTCTCCACGAGATAAGAAGAAGATGTATCGCATTTTAAGATTCGACTATAAATGCTTCCAAAAATATTAAGAAATAAAATAGATAACTTTAAAATGCAAAACCCATTATCCCAATACAAAATTTCATCAAAATCGTTGGAGCCCTTTCCGAGAAACCTATGGATATAAAAGTATATATATATTTATATACAAGAGTTGCTCGTTTAAAGTAACAAGATTACATAGTAGATTTCTCACTAAACCTATATATTTTAATGCATGCATTTGATTGCGGCTCAGAGTTTGCCATCGTTCGAAACTCATTGAGAATTTTTGTTTATTTTGGAAGGGCACCTATTTATTTTCATAATTTCGTTATAGATAATCAATATTATTTGTTTCTTGTGGTTTTACGCTTTGCAGAATTCCATACGAAAAATAAACAAGTTGGCTTCTTAAGTCTTTTGTTAGAAGCAGAGGTGAATGCTTTTCTTTACTGTCGGAACTAAAATCGCATGCTTGATAACCCAATTTTTTTCAGCGGATTTATTTTTTGGCGGTCACATTTCACCCATTTCAAACATACATATTTGGTTCCGTAAAAAAAATGATTGAAATGGGTATAAATAATATAAGCTTCAACTCAAATCATTGCGCCGAACCCAGTTCGCATATCACAAGGATAAATCGAACGCTCAATGATTATCACAAACAAATGCAAAACGCTTGTAGATAACCATGCATCACGGTCATTGAAAGTCACAACTGACAAACAATGTAAAGTCACAAAATATTTTTAAACAAAAGCAAATACACATTGCAATGATTCTTCCAATTTCACTTTCACAGCAAACAAATGCCAATGCCGCGTAACCGCACAACATTCATGATTCGCTTGTGTTGGCACAAAACATACCAACATTTTTTAAGTATGTATTTCTAAAAAGCATTCAAAAGTTATGTTGCTGATGTATGCATGTATGTACATACCACCAGGCTTGCTTTGCTAAAAAAAAACTCCTAAACATCGATCGGCAATGACTGATATCTTTATAATTACGCGAAGATGGAAGAGGCAAAAAAGAGCATGACAAATAAAAAGTCAAGATAAAAATTCAAAATTACAAAAAAAAAACTTCAAAATAGCAAGTTTATTGGCAGCATTCATTCGAAAGTAAATAGCAGTAATATAAAATGGTAATAGTCTTATGTATGCACATATCTACGTATGTATTTAGTAGAGGAAAAACAAAAAAACAAAAACAAAATAACAATAACGATTAACTGACTTTGACCAAAATTGGATTGGCATCGATTGGTTGCGCTTCAGCGACTTTTTTGCTACGGCTTTTGTTGACGTATGTGTACATATGTAAGCATATACATACGAAAGTATGTAACTATGTTGATGCAAAATGAAGTGGCAACAAGTGGCACGTTCGAGGAGGCAGTCACTGGCTTTTGATTGTTGTAAGACCGCATACAAGATAAATCAATGGTGTTGCACTATGCAGCGATATGTATCTAACCGCTATAATCGACCGCGTTAGTCGGGAGCAACGGCAAAGGCATCCATCTGAAGCTGTTTTGTTGGCTGAGTAAATGTTGCCGCTGCAGTTAATACGATTTATGTATGTATGTATGTGTGTATGTACATATGAACTTTTGCTACAATAAATGAAGAGAAATTTTTGTATGCATACGAAAATGCATATATTTTTAACTACATGTACATATACAAACTAATATACATACATATACATATATGTATGCAAATATGTACTAAAGAATGTCAAACGCGCATAAAATTTAAACTTAAACAAAATAGTATATGAGGCAATATGTGAATGCCAAAGAGGCCATCTCAATTGACAAAGGGTAAATAAAAATTTAAATTAAGAAAGAAAAAACCGAAAAGCATCACAAACGTACACAAAGTAGGAAAAAATACAAAAGGTGTTAAGAAAAAAAAAATACCCATATGTACATATGTATGTATATGCCTTCGGGCTATGATTTCGCCTATCCATCAGTTGGCGCATGCTACTCGTAAAAGAAGAAATTCCTCTTCTCTTTTTTACTTTAATTTCATTCCATAATTGTGCATACACTACAAATTCACACTGCTTTTTGAAAGTCGCTGTGCACGCTTTTACGAAAACGAAAAGGCCCCTGAGGCGAATTTTTTTTTGGTTTTGTTTGAAACAATTAGCAAATTTGTACGCACTTTAACGAAATTAGCTAGGAGATGTGTATGTAAATACATAAAACTAAATAAAACGCTAGAATGATGATAGCAGAGAGAAAGAAAGTGTGAAGTCAAGTTTACTAATGAAAACGAATGTTTCTATGCGCCTTTAAACCACTAATTTACTTTCGAAAAATATACATATGTTATGTTAGCACCATGCATATTTTAATAAGATATTTGAGTTTATGGTTATTGCATGCGTGATGGTGTTGGAAATCGAAAATTAAAAAAAAAAACAATAAGGCAGGCGAATAAGATTTTGAAGTAAATAGAAGATTCGCAAGCACATGTTAGACTTTCCCGAGAGTCAAAAAGTCGTATTAAAAATGTACGCATCCTTCTTCTACACTCATAATTAAACTTCTTGAGGGATATCTGCAGCTCTCAAATAAAACTTAGAATTCATATAAAATGACGCACAAGAAATGTAAAAGAAATTGTTTTCTATCAAAATTTCTTAAATCAGTATGCAGCTCTCAAGAAAAAAATGCTCGTATTATTTATCTATTTCTTCAAGAAAATTTACAGCAACAGCCAATTACCTTTCAAGCAGCAGAAATAACGAAAAATATTTCATGTGATTTTTCTTGAGAACTACAGACAGCCCAGCACCTAATAAAAATGCCTGAGAAAACAAAAAAATTATTAATCGAAATAAATTTAATAATATTAATGCCTATGATTTTTTTTTCTGCCATGAAAAACAGCTTCTCATAAAAATACAATCGCCGTTCGGAGTCGGCGTAAAACTGTAGGTCCCTCCACTTTGTGTGACAATATCAAGGCGCACGCCACAAATCGGAGGAGAAGCTCGGCCGGCACATATTGTGTATTATTATTATTATGATTTTTTTTATAAGCAATACATATGTATGTTGATGATTTGTGGGTTATTCATCCAAATCATATAGGAAATGAATTTTTTATTGTTTTGTTAGTTTATTTTATTTTCTGCTTTTATTGATTTCAATAACTTTTTTATCATTTTAGGTCCAGTATTAGACGGGTGAGTTCTACCAGATCTTATTGCTCTGTGCAATAAAGACGCCACTGACAATATCGTTTGCATTTCTTTGTTGAACGACAAAACTAGTACTACATCAATTAAATACCCTCTACAAAAATATTTCTAAGGTAATTTTCAAGCATATTTTCTATACATACATCATTCTGTGCGATTGTTGTAGAGTCATTCTTTAGAGCTGGGTCCTTTCATAAAAAGAAATTTTACTTAGGATAATTGGTTCAAACAATTTTTTTTTTCAGGAATCCGTATTTGGTAAAGTCGCTAGGACCGACTACAATAAATAGACAAATAACTGGGTTATAATTTAATACAGGCTATGACCGGACTCTACCTTGTGTGAAAGCATAATTCGAATAGCTTTCTGTCCTAGCCTGGCCCTAAATATAAGCAACAATGAGATATTATTTGTGGCTTAATTTCAGTATCATTCGAAAAATAAGCTTTCTAAACCATTTTTTTATCATTCATTTAATGTAATTTCTTAAATGTTAAATTTTGTGTAAACTCAAATCTATGTATTTTATTGGAGTAAAAATCGAAATAAGTAAATTAACGAAAAACGATGCTGAAGATGAGACAACGACGTAATACATACCTCAAACTGATATGATCCACAAGTTTTCAGGAAGGTGTTTTTTAAGATATGCATATTTGAACCTTATTTTTTTTTTTTGAAAACGTAAAATAAAGGTGTGTAAAACAGTTAAAAAAAAAATAGTTCAATAAGACTGATTAATTTTATATGAGTGTTAGGCGGTATATTTCCTTTGTATACACAGATTTGTTTTTGCGAAGTGAAAACAATAAGCACAAGATAACAGCAAAGAAAAAATAATTTTCTCTCCAACTCAAAGATCCGGATTGGCCGCATCACATCACAGCGGCTATGCAGAAAAAACAAAATAACCAACAATAACTACGTACATACTGCCAAAGAATAGGTATATGAATGTGACTTGTGACTGGTTGTCTTCATATATTTCCTTGTCGCATTGCTACTGCCGCCAGCATAGGCGCACTGGCATTGCATTGGACAGGACAGTAATACTCTAATAATAAATCAGTTAAAGAAATTATTGAATCGCACTTGATACTGGTTCACCTAGTTTCAAACGTATGGCGCCTGCTGTGCATTGTGTACACTTTCTTGACCGATGCGCTAAACATTTTAGGGGTAAAAAGATAAAAATAAATAAATAAATAAATGTGACAATCAGCGAAGCGAGCGGCATTATAATGCAGCAGCTGGTTGAGGCTGGTACATACATACATACATATGTACATTTGTAGGGGTAGATAAACACATAAAAAGTTGCTATATATGTATGAGAAATTAGACTTGCATACTAAAAAATAAAAAATGTTAATTACCTTAAATTATATTTTTGGATCAAACAATAAAACAAAAACTTTGAAACCTCTTTCGCGGGTAAGAAGCAACGAATGTGCTTGGTGCTCTTGCCAATTAGCTCAAATCAACAGCAGACTAAATAGAGACACCGCGAAATGCCACACAGCGTTGAAAATTTTGTTTGCAACAACACGAAAAAATCAGCCATAAATCGCCTACTCAACGCACGAAAACAAAGCCAACAGCCTTGCATATCTGTACTAACATACATACATACACGTTCATATAAACATACATACGTATTTGTAAATATATTTTTCTATATAAAAAATAAAATTTAGAAAATTGCTAGAGCAAACGATGTAAACAACAATAGCACTAGATGTTAAGCGCTTGCTGAGAAAGAAAACCCACCATAGAAAAACTAAAGACTTAAGAAAGCAACTTGTGCTGAGTAAATTATTTTGTTTTTGCTTTTTTTCTAAATGCATTGTTGCTGTTGTACATATATTTCAAGTAGTTAACTTGTTAATGATTGCACATTTAGGTGAATATCTAGTGATTGCAAAGTTTGTTCGCCTAAATGCGGCGTCGATCGGCTGTTGGATGTTAAATTCAACGCTGAGCAGTTTTCACATTGAAAATTGAGCGAAATTTAAACTGTGCGCCAATTTGCTTCATATCATTTCTAGCTACATAGGCGGCTGTAGCAATTCAAATCAATAAGTGAAAATAAATTGTGTATATGTATGATGTATGTGTGTATTGTGTATATGGAGAATAAATTATGCAAAATGTACGCGAGTGAAATTTCGGATGAAAATGTGGGTGTAAAAATAATAATAAATTAAAACAAAATTAAAGAATAAAGGATAAAATTCTACTAAAAAAAAATCTCTAGAGAAATAAAAAAACCCATACAAAATAAAAAGAAAATTAAGAAATAAAATAAAACAAAAAATATTTATCTTATTTGAGCTTTAGGAATTTTTATTAAAAAAATGTTTTTGGCTCTTCCATAAAACAAAAAAAAAACTAATTAATATGAAAAAAACCAAAATAAACAGTTATATTAAGTTAACGTGAATTAGGTTAATATAAATTAGACTTAATCAAATTAAAAAACTAAGCATCAACTTATATATAAAATTAAAAAAATAAAAGTAAATTATTATTAGATAAAATAAAATAAAACACAGAATAAATAGATTAAACAAAAATAGTTAAATAAATAACATATATATGTATATATAAAAATGTATATTATTTTTTTACCATAAATATATAACAATAAAATAAAATCTAAGTGAATTAGCGCAAAAATATCGAGCCCTAACCGCCAAAAAGATGTAAGCGACATTTTTTCAACAGTTTATTTTTGATGCAGAAATGCATCTATGTAGATATGCTCTAGGAACATTTCTGCATCAAAAAGAAAATTTTCCCAAAAATGTCGCTTACATACTGTGTGTGGAATAGGGACACGACATTTTAACAAGTTTTTCCTGTTTTTTTTTGTTTATTTAATATTTTTGTTTATAAAAGTATAGCTCACTATCTAACAAAAATCATATGAATTCTTATTTCAAACTGTGTGCAAAAATTATAAAAATTCTGCAAAATTGCATCTAAATTTTAAACTTTTTTAGATTTTTTTTGAATATGCAGTTTTATAGCCCACTACATTTTAGAATAATAAAGTGCAAGTTGGAAGTTCCTAAAAAATCGCGTTGTTTTTCGATAATAAAAAAATCTGATTAAAAAGTTGAAAATTTAGATGCAATTTTGCAGAATTTTTATAATTTTCGCATAAAGTGTGAAATATGAGTTTATATGGTTTTTGTTAGATAACGAGCGATACTGTTATATAAAAATAATAAATATTAAATAAACAAAAGAAAAGTTGGAATAATTTGTTAAAATATCGTGTCCCTAATTATATTTTTGAAGGTTAGGTCTCGATATGAAAAAATAAAAAATATATAAAAAATGTATATAAAATAACAGCATTTCTCCTTTTTGCGAATTGCTAAAATAGAAAATAGATCACAACAAAAAATTAAGTAAATTAAAACAAAACTAAACTAACTTAATAAATAAAAGTAAAACAAAAAATTAAATTAAATTAAATATTTAACAAAAAGTATACTAAAAAATGTTTACAAAATTTAATTAAATAAAAAATATTAAAGAATTGCGAAAAACAAAAACAACAAAAAATAAAAAATAAAAATAATTATAAAACAAAAGAATTAAATTGCTTTTTCGTGATCTTTCCTCTTTTTTTAAAATAATTAATTGGACTGTTTTAATTTTCATAAATTTTCCCAATTAATTTTAAAGTAAAAATTGTACGAGTTGGTTTTTGATGTTCTGGAAATCATGCGACTACATTTCAATTCATTTGCATAGTGATACCCACATTTATCCCTCATGCTAATATATCGTAAGAAACCGCTTTCATCACTTCCCCTTATTTGTATCAACATATCTATTAGGAGGGCAACATTTTGTGGGACCGCTCTGCAAATGGCTCTCAAACAATAGCATCAAGAATCTGCTTGCCAAACTTCACTTCTCTCTTGGAGAATATGCTTCAGTATTCCATGCCCAGGTATTTGTAATCTTCAAGGCCATGAACTAAATGACAGCGGTGGAAAATACGTGGTGAGGCAGAAGTTAAAGTGTCTGTAGTGAAGGCGTTAGGTAGAACTCAAGCTACTTCCAAACTAACTAGTTCGGCAATGGAAGTACGGACTAAAATAAGTAAACGTACATAAATATGTTGGAGAACATAACGGACCTATTTTTATAACGATTAAATAATAATTTTTATCTATAGACCTGTGCATGCATGTGGGTCAATTCATGTCAAATCGACCAATAGTTGGATTCGACCATTTTTGATCTGGATGGATTTAGGTCAAAACTGTTCTTTTATCATATATCTGCCAAAGGAGAAAAGTAAAAAAAATCTGAAATTAAAAATTTCACAGTTGTCCGAATTTTACAAGTTTGTTTTTTGAAATGTGATATTTGGGGCTATCTAAAAAATATGCTTTAACAAAATTAGAAAAATGTAAAATTACACACACCTATCCTCAATCCAAAGGAAGTTGAATGAAAATGCCTAATAAAACGGTTCCCTGCATCTTATTCCAGCTATTTCATGATTTCAAAATCCATTCCGAATGAAATCTTAGCTGATCGTTTGGTAGTTTTTTTTCTACAATTACTTTTTTCGATCTATAAATATTTTTAATTACTTTTTTATCTTTATTTTTTTGTTAATTTAGTTTTTTTTTTAGTTTAGTTTTAGTTTTTAGTTTATTCAGTTTATTTAGTCTATGATTACAATCTTACAGACTAGATAAAAATAAGACTATCATAATTAACACTAAATACTATAGATTTAGATACACAAATAGTTATAAGAAAAATGAATCAATAGATGATTTGAAAATATTTCTCGGCAACGAAAAATCAATATTTAGACTCTTTGAGATCTTGTTAAATTCTGTCAGAGCGCGGAAAATCGGATCAAAATGGTAATAGTTAGCCTTAGTAGCACGCAAGTAAAACGGCAGAGATGAGCGTAGAAATCTGTGAGGCACATTAAAGGATATCT